TGTGGCTTTTAAACCCGAAAACACACTGCGCCAAAAATTGGTCCACCCCAAGGATCGGGTCCCCCGACACAAACAGAGTAACATAGTGTACGCTGTTAAGTGCCAGGAGGATTGCCAGGATTTATACATCGGGGAAACCAAACAACCTCTGGCGAAGCGGATGACACAACACAGAAGAGCTACCTCGTCAGGCCAGGACTCTGCAGTCTATTTACACCTACAGGCTAGTGGACACTCTTTCAAGGATGAGGATGTTCACATCCTGGACAGGGAGGAATGCTGGTTTGAGCGTGGAGTCAAGGAGGCCATTCGAGGAGGGGGCCTAAGGGTACATCTTTCGCCATCTTACAATGCTGTGATTGCAGCCATTCCCCAACTCTCTGTGAATGGCACTCATGGCCATTGATCAGTGGTCTTTGATCAGTGGGTTTTGGTCAGTGGTTGTTGATCAATGGTCATGAGAATTTGCATAATTATGATTAAGGAACTGACCTCACAGCCCATTGTTCCTTCAGTTTCAGTCATTATGCAAATGTACTGTTTATAAGATTGGGGAAACCTGCAGTCAGCTGAGACTGAAGAAGTCACTTGGATGAGTGATGAAACGTTTCTCCCAGAAAACTACGTCCAGATGAACAGAATCAACTTTTGGAGAATACAGACTTTAGTTTTTCGTCTTATTGTGAATGTTGTCTTTACAACACCCACAGTAACCAAAGTTATAGATGATGTTTAGAAGTAACAAACTACAATAATTTTGAAGTGATATCAGGGGTTTTTCTCATCTGTTTATTAAATTCCTGTAGAGTAAAATGGTCTTCCATTTAAACCTCTGTTCCCTTTTTATCATATCATTATTAATCTACACACTTCTGCGTTCAGCTGCTATCTCCACACTTCTTTTATCCTTCAACAATCAATATTTACATTTTGGATCAGCTGTAATATCAGTCCAGCTGCTTTTACTCCTAGTACCGTCTGAATACTAGAAAAATAAATGGAGAGGCTCTAATTAAAGGGTTGCAGTGGGTAAGATTTTCAACTTTCTACAATCTATCTCTGTTAAATCCTGGATAAATAATCAGGGCCAGAGCTAACCTGGCTTGGCCTACAATCTGTCCGCAGCACTCGCAGGACTGATTACCAGGCGGTGCGGCGAGCGCACCAGATCAGTTTGATTATCTGAGCCCAAGAAAGAGCAACAGCACTTATTTGGTCAAATATAATTTTAGTGGGATATTTCAGAGGGATGACATAGGATCCAGCGCCAACAAAGAAATGAATGATACTGAGCTTTGTGCTGGACAAGTTAGAGAGAGTATTAGTGTCTGATGAAAAACGGATCTGAAATGTAATGCTTCAGAGGAAAAATGGGTTTCATCAAAATCAAGATTAATGTTCAAATATTAGCATTTTTAAACTTTAGATGAAGCAAATATTATGCTAAAGGTCTCAGTCAAAATAGACATCTATCAATCTAGAGACGAAAAAAGAAAGAGGCAGACGTTACTAAAGCAGGATGAATGAGAAAGGAAAACACAGAAAGAAGGAAGGAGCAGTATCAGGAGGTAGAGAATAAAATCTCTGGCTCTCTTCCACAGCATGTCTTTATCCTGTCTTCCTTCTCTCACCCCAACCGGTCGCAGCAGATGGCCCCGCCCCTCCCTGAGCCTGGTTCTGCTGGAGGTTTCTTCCTGTTAAAAGGGAGTTTTTCCTTCCCACTGTCGCCAAAGTGCTGCTCATAGGGGGTCATATGATTGTTGGGTTTTTCTCTGTATGTATTATTGTAGGGTCTACCGCACAATATAAAGCGTCTTGAGGCGACTGTTGTTGTGATTTGGCGCTATATAAATATAAATAAAATTGAATTGACTTGAAAATAAAAAAGATAAACCAGAAGAGAGGAGGAAGAAAGAAACATGTTAAAAGAGAGGACAATGAAGTAGATTAAGAATGATCATCATTGTATGTTAGAAGTTTTGATACTGCCAGAAAATGAACAATATAAAGAGCAAAAAAAAGAAAAATATTCAACACAGACAAATTCTGAACTCAAAAAGGGGAGGGACAGGAAAAAAGTTAAATTTAATTCAATTTAATTCTATTTGTATAGGACCGAATCACAACCACAGTTCTGTATAATTGTAAGGCAAAGACCCTACAATAATACAGAGAAAACTCACACAATCAGATGACCCTTTATGAGTAAGCACTTTGGCGACAGTGGGAAGGAAAAACTCCCTTTTAACAGGAAGAAAGCTCTGGCAGATCCAGGCTCATCTGCAGTGACCGGTTGGGGGTGAGGGGATGTTAAAATAAAAAAAATAAAAAAAAACAATGTTGGGAGCATGAAAAGGAGCAGAAAAGAAGAAAAAAGATTCAATTTGAGTAGAAGGAAAAACACTGAGGTGGGTAATACAGATGATCCGCTGTGGCTGCACGCCCCATTCCTCTGAGGGAGAGTGGAGAAGCATCAGCTGCTGTCATGGTCACGTCGGCGTTATCGTCTGTTTAGAACTTGGCCTGATGCGACTGCGCTGGTCTAATGTAACATGATCGGGTGAGTCTGAAGCTCACTTTTAAACATACAGTGCTCTTTAAACCTACTGCAGTACATTTAACTGCTGACTGTCATGCGTAAACACTACACAGAGAGGTTCGGTGCATTAGCTGGAATGATTCCTTTTGTGGTTCCATCCACTGAGGATTAAAGTCCTTCTGCTGTGGAAATGAACATTTTAAAGCAACAGAGAGCACAGTAAACCTGCAGCTACGGGCCTGTTATCTTTATGGGGAAATATTAGATTGTATGTGTGTGTCAAGTCAGACCTGTGGCCAGCAGGCAGACAGTGTGTGCTCCCATGCAGGCCACACGCCAGTCGGGCCCAAGAGGCCGTGGCGGATTCTTGAATAGTCTAATAAACACCAGATGTTCCCTGGGTAATATATACACAGACCCTGTGCCGTGTCCATCTCCCCCGAGCAGGAATAACACAGCCAGGCCGAGTCAACCAGCATCTGAGGGATCACATCGACAGCAGCAGAAGCGGCAGCCGCAGGAGGAGGAGGATGTTGTGCCCTCCTCAGAAATGCCTGATTTTTTGGGGGAGGACGGATGATGTTTTGAAGAACGATAAGACATCTAGTGTGTGGGCGTATGACAAACAGCGCAAATACGAGTCCTTGCAACGTCTCTCAGATCTGCACCACCGCCTGCAATCAAGAGATAAACAGCCAATTGAAATTTCTTTTTTAAAAGAGTGCTTGGAGCCCTGCTGGCCAATTGTGTTTCTCGTTGCTGCCTTATCTGTGACAGACTCCTAGAAACTGATAGGGGCTCGCCGGGCCTCTGGATTCCGTTCCCCCGCACACTTACCAGAGGTTTATCTTGAGGCTGGAGCCTCTGTGAAATGGCGAACGGTGCCAGAGATATCATTCAACAAATCCCCAGCCTGTAGTCCAGGTCACCCGGTCCCCTTGTTGTTTCAACAGGCAAGCAATCGAGGGGGGGGGCAAAACCAGCTAGCTTGCATGGCTCACTAATTCCATGTTTCCCGAGATGACTTACGAGATGCTTTAAAGTAACAGGAATAGATACAAATCTCGATTTTATGAGTAGCTGTCTGCTGTGTTGTAACGTCGCACACTAAACAAACTACTTTCTCATGAATATTTGAAATTTATCTCTGGCGCGGCGTGCGTTGGCAGTCACAGCTAACCCGAAAAGCTGCAAACATCCACTAAGCTGACCTGAAGGAAAGGAGGGAACATCAATCGCAGCAAGGGTGAAGATTTAAGAGTTTGCTCAGTACAGTCAGGTCTACGTGTTCTCATCACTGTGACTTACGTGCTCTTAAAAGCACAAAGCCTCTTTATTGTAAATGCGCGCTCAGTTGTTGTGTTTGGGCGTGCCTCTCAGCGCTGTGCTGTAAACAGGTGCCATCTCTTGTGAATCTGGCCTCCTTAAGCTGTTTCTTCTGAGGCCGAATGTCCTCTTCCAGCACAAGAGCATTCCTCGGCGGTCACTTACAATCTTGTCTGCCTGTTCTCGGGCTGCAGCCACTATCTGGTCTCTTTCTCCTCTGCTCTGTAGCATAAAGCCACCTGCTTTCCTTGGTTCTGGATTGATTCATCTCCACTATCTAGATATGTGCTTTGTTGTGTTTTTGCTGCCTGTTTCATTTTGCTTTCTCTCTTTAACACAGCTGGATTCATGTTACACGTCCATCAGTAACATATATGTACTGTGAAAAATTGTCCATGAGAGACTGTGGATCGCTTTCTTTTTGTCTCTCTTTTGACTAACAGCTGGTATCTGTTTTTATAGTTTTCATTTCAGGCCTACATCTAACTATTTTTTCCCCCTTTTCTCTTTAAATGTCAAGCAGTATGTCAGACTCGAGGATCCGATGCATGTGAAACTCGGGCAGTTGGTGCTTCTCACAACCTCATTCCTGGATTTTCAAAATAATACTGATTGAGCCAAGGGGACCTAGGGCAGATTTGAAAAATGCAGAAACTGCTCATATTTCCCACAGTGAACTGCACCATCCACCCGAGGACAAAGCACCCAAAATTTGTTTTTTCACTGCTCTAAATTATTGAAAAAAAACCCAAATTAATTAAAAACAGTTTTAAAGCTCACTAATATTTTTGTTATTAATGGAACAAGTCTAATGTTAAAAGAGTGCCTCACATAAATGAATGTAAAAAATTCAGTTCCTATCAACCTCGTATTTGCATGGAAGCAGAACACTCATTTATCTTTTGGACAGATAAAACCTACATTATTTTAACAGCTAGACAGTCGGGGGAACTGACCTTTCACCTCTGTATCTAATTGCTAATTGGGACAAGTGTGATAAGTTGACAAGCTTGAGTTTCTCACACTTTTTTCCTCTGACTGTCTGACTCACACTTAAGTCTGAAAGCATGTAAGTACACGTGTGTGTGTGTGTGTTTGGATGTGCAGCAGCTCCATGTTGGAAGGTGTTACTCACGAGGCATGATGCCTTGGTCTGCCAGCTGCTCTCGTGTCCTCCTCTGCTGAAGTCTTAACTGTAGGACTAAAGTTGGGGGTGGGAGGAGGAAGAGGAGGACAGATAAAGAGCGAAGGTGAGAAAGAGGTATGGAGAGACAGGAGAGGGACAGAGAAAAAGCAGGACGAGGCTGAGAATACAAGCCACTTAAATCGGTATTTCAGAATGAAACGTAAAGTCGAATTAGCATCGTTTTACTTTGTCTGCGGGCTGGAATGAAAAGCTTCCAGCATCAATTTGTAGTCATTGAACAGATGCACATGGACACATATGTATGTGCACATATGCATACAGAAAACACACAAAACAGCGCAGCTTGCTCACAAATATTTCTGTGAGCAGGATGTAGGGAATGATAAACACAGCTCCTGGCTTTTAAACAGATCTCTGCAGTGTGTGGTCCACAGCATGTGCACACGTTTCACTGTGCCCTGCATGTGTGTGTGTGTGT